TCACGATGTAGAAAAAGGACTGAATATTAAATAAAACTTTTATTGGATGCAGCTATACTTGTGAAACATTCAGAAATTTCTCCTCACGCGGGCTTTGGAAAACGGGGAGAAATGATCGTTGCGAGACGGGGGAGGACATGCCCCTTTCGGCGGCTGCCTGTTCCCAGCACCGGCGGGGGGGGGGGCTCGGGGGCGCGCGCGAGGACCCTGGAAAATAGAGAATGCCTGCTTTTGCAAGGGAATCCCACTGTCAGGTGGACCTATGATTCAAGTCTTTCGATTTCAAATTTAAAAAGTCGAAAAGTTGTCAGAAAGTTATGGATGTCGACACAAAAATACGACAATGTCTGAAATAAGTGAAGACCTCCCCGATATCAACCTCCCCGGTCATAGCACGCAATTTCTTATCCATCCTGAACTCCATACTACACAAACTTTGCACAGGTTCTTAGGTTGGAATGGTAGCAAACGATGAAATGGATGTTTATTCTATTTTCTCGCCTTTGGCCTTGTCTGCTGGGACTTCTCTTGTGAACATGACACGTTCTCTGGAAGCCCTCCTGTCAAGCTACACCCCACATAGCGGCTCTTTGTCAGACAATGATCACTGGAGCGGGGATGATGAAGTGGAGGATAAAATTAGGTGTTTCAATCAATGTGTTGGCCGTTTAGAAAGGTGCAAACGAAAAAGACCGCATGATTCACCCCTCGAGGGCGATCAAGAACAAGCCCTGCCCCCAACAAGAAGATCTTCCCGACAGGCAAGTCGCTCTTCTGATGCGAGAAAGCCTTGGCACGCGTTGATGAAACGTAGCAGGCGGTCTACTACAGCTATCAGCAAGCATGACGAGGACAAGAGGGTTGTATGCTCCGGGAGCCTCAAACGTCACCGCACGACAGGTGAAGTAGAAGTGCAAGTTTTCAGACGCGTGCTATCCCGCGACACCGTAGACTTGCTGTTAAAGGGTGAACTCTTCAGTTCTGCCGCACCGATATCGAGCAGGTAAGTGCAAGCATGAATAGAATTGATTTGGGCTTCGTGCGGGGAAAGTGATGGTCATACGAGTTTCAATGGACCGATCGACTCTGTCGATTTTATCAAAACGTAAGCAGGAGGGCCAGCCACTGTGCAAGAAACCCATGGCCGGGTGTCAACAACCTCATCAAGACTCTTCTCGAGAGCACACACGCCACGCAGGTCAAACATCCCTACATTGCGGAGATCTCATCAAGGTGCGACAGCACGGGCCCTCCTCAACGCCTCGACCTTCGCCTCAGTTCGTCCGGCGTCCGCTCCCTCCTGAGCGACGAGGCCATTCAAGCGGTAGAGGCCATCGTCTTCGGCCTAAGGTCAGCTCTTAAGTTTACAGGCAAGGTCCATTGGGACTCGCATATCGTCGTTGTCCTTCCCGGCGCGCCGGAGCAGCGCTATCACGTGGACTCGTCCCGCTCGTGGTTCTATTTCACACTTATTTTCCCACTTTCGAAAGACCCTCCCAGGGCAGGACGGACGGAGTTCTGGAATAAAGAGAGGGACCAACCGTCCATGCCAGTGAAACGGGGAGACGTGCTCGTGTTCGACGGCAAGCGCAAGCATCGGGGATCGGCCAACGCCACGCATCGACATGTCCGGGTCTTCCTTTACATTGCCGTCTATTCTGGCACTGACTGGAATTGATGGCAAGAAGAGGGTGTAAGAACGGATGAAAGCCGGAAGGGGCATCAAATGTAACGGTACATGCTTGCAAGATGGAAGTGGGCCCTAAGATAACTAAATCAACAGCAAACGTCTGGGTCAGCTTGGTATTGCAGGTTGTACGTGTTTTGATATTATTAGTAATGTGGATCGATATAGCCTCCGACAACCCCACTGGGTCCCAATGATCGCATTTCTACCATAGTAGGGCTTTCGGTTGTTGCCTCCCTTTTACGTCCAGCCCACTTTCGTTGCATTAATTTACTGCCAATGTTATTGAATGCTACGTGCTCTTTCTTTTCAACGGCATGCCCCAACCCCTCCTTGATGGCTCTTTGTTTGGCGCTGCGAAGCTCGTCAAGCCATGCCGCGCGTGCCTCTGTCGTCTCAGCGGCTAAAACCATGGCTTTACTCAATGTAGAGACAACAAAGGCAAAGGGATATATCTCGTCATCCACTGCTTGCACCTCCATACCCTCCAGCGCTAGAGGGGTGCCTTTTGGTCGAGCAGACTCAAACGAAGTGAAACGGTACAAGAAGCGACCAACAATAACAAATAAGCGTGATTTCCACTGAGGTTTACAGCATCCCAAACATCGTTCCCTTTTCCTGTACAATTGGCCGTGGTAAGAGGAGGCAGCTCGGCATGCTTGCGCTGCCGAAATGCTATCATTTGGTGGGTTTAAACCCAATGTCGCTTCATCCAGGGCGATGGCAGCTTCCTCACTCGGAAGAAGGCGGTAATCAAGCCGTGCTGACATTTATTCACGCGCTCAATTGCTCAATCAATCGTTGAAATGGATTGTTACTTGCTCGTGTACGCCTGGTATGTTTGTTGGGAGACGTTGCCGATTATCTTTTGCACAACCTGAATTCAAACGTTTCTATCACCAGCGGCACGAGAAAACATCGGTACATCTCTTACGATTGTTTCAGCACATAGTTTTTTGTTGGAGCGGTCCTAACAGCTTGACTTTAGTGGAGGCGGTGCAGCGCAGTTGAATTAACCTCCCGCCTCGCTTGTCTTAGAATAGGTAGCTCGCACTTAGGCCAGGATTGCAGTTTATTGCGACTGGAAAAATTGGAGCAAAATATTAATTTTCTTACTTACAGGCACTATGCCTGGGAAGAAGCCACCATCCCGTCCCAAAATTGGAAAGAGAGGCTATGCAGGCCCTACAAATGTTGCAGCGCCCAGCACAGACTCAGTCCCATCCATCTACGATACTCTTCCAACTGACTTGCTGTATTTCGTTCTTCGCTATTTTGACGCCTCTATGCTTGCACGGTGGGAGCAGACATGCCTGTTGGCCCGAAATTCGCTCGAGGGACAGAAAGGAGTTGCCCTGTGGCAGATGGCGACAGAATACCAGTTTCAGTGGTTCATCACATCAAAGCCTTCCTACATCTCACAAAAGAGATTTTTGTTGCAACTACGGAAAAGCTGCTGGCCGATCGAGCATAAAAATGACTTAGATCGCCCGGGAAGATTTTATGTACTGGGGGGCTCTTGCAACAGGCCCGCGCCAATGGACGGATGCGAATGCTTCATGGACTCCGGGGGCGCGAAGCTTCTGCCAGGGCGGTACCCTGCTCCTTTCCACAAAGAGGCTGTCCCAGCCTTACAAATGGAACGCTCTGCACCTGGAGTGGCTCGGGATCAGGAGGACGGTCTGTGGGTGGTGGGGGGGTGGTCGGGATCCGAGGCTTTGAAATCCGTGGAGAGGTTAGGGGTAGACCCGAGGACTGCCCAGGAGGGTGGGATGAGAGAGCATCGGGTGGCAAAGGAGGACCTGGTAACAGGAGGCTCGAGCTGGTCTGGCATGCCTCGACGCGAAAGGATGTGGACGTCCCTGCAGCCGCTCGAGACCGCCCGTTGCTTCCTCGCCTCGGTGACCGATTTGCAAGGCCGCTTGTACGCTCTGGGGGGGGGAGAAAGCATATGGCAAGGCGCTAGGGTACTCAAAAGTACCGAAATCATGGAAGAGCCCCTTGCCCGGTTAACTATGCCCTGGCGCCCCGGCCCTTGCATGGTAAAAGCCCGCTGCGGGCTTGCCGCAGCTGCGAGCATCACAGGCGACATCTATGCCGCTGGAGGGTATGGGGGGGGTACGACATATCTGTCTTCCGTTGAGGTGTTACGAGCGGGCGATTCAGAGGGAGCCACGAGGGAATGGTTGGTCGATGTGGTACGGCCCATGCATGTAGCCCGAACCGGCTTTGGGCTGGCCTTTGGCCCTGATGGCTGCCTTTTTGCCGTGGGAGGGTCGCCCGACGGCTTGCACAGCCACCGAAGGGGAGAAAAGTATGACGTTCGGGAAGGTCGATGGAGGTGGCTCCCTCTCATGATAACACCCCGGGGTTACTGCTCCGCGGCTTTTGGGCCGTCGGGCTTATTGTACGTCGTGGGCGGACAGGCAGGCGTGACTAACGACGACGCCATAACCAGAGTCGTCGAGGTGTATGATCCTCGGGCAGACAAATGGCGACAATTCAAGAGTTTTGGCGGTGAAAATGACTCAGGGGTAGACCGTGTAGACCTAGGAGTTGTCTGGGCCTTGGTCCCTTAAACAAACAAGCTGTTTTTTTTAAAGTCACCTGGAAAACTAGCTTTTGTGTGAAGAATTTCGTGGGCAAATCCATCCAAAAACGCTTGCTTCCAAATAGGAATGTTCTAGACATGGGGACATTCTCACATTTCATTGTTTATTACATATCACGGAAAGGTGCCGGGAGGTCGACAAGAGCGATACTGGCGAGACAAAAGGCCAAGAATGGTAAAAAATCTGAAAATTTGGTAAGTATTTTAAAGTGCGTGACTACCGATGGCGGGAAGGATGATTTGGTATTTTCTGAAGCACTGGGGGCATACTAGATTGTCACGCCCCTCTGCCCTTTTTGTGCCTCTGGGATGCTTCCTAGCTGGCGGTCGCCGTTTTTTTACTAGCCACGACTGTTCCATGATGATACGCCCCAGGCTCTTTCAACAGTCTCTGCAATTTTTAAGGTGATGACCCCTTTGATGGCGAAAATCTTCTTGTTATAAATTGTGCGGACAGAGTCGATGGGACCTCGTGCTTTAATTGCACATGATGATCATGCTACATGATGTTACAAGGGAGGGGGGGGCGCCAAGAGCTTTTCCGCCATGTCAGCACGTGCCTTTCTTCCATGCTCTCCCAGAGCACAAACATCACGTTACCGCGCATCCCAGCAATGAATTATACCTTATTTCTCGCATGAAATTTCATCAACACAGAAACACGCCCGAGGGCTTGTTCAGCAAGGGGAAGTAAGACAGGATTGGGAAGCAGAAGTATCTACTTATCCTCCGGGCCTTCACTTGGATCTCGCCTCAGTCTGAAAGCATGCCACCCCTACCAAGCGGGGGGCTCTTGGGTCCAGCTTCTCAGTTCACCCATACAACTGAAACGACAGAATGCAGGGAAGGGGTCGCAGGCACTGGTGTATTTGGTGAGGGCCTGAAAGTCCGGGGTCCTAATGGGGCAGAGTACATGCTAAGCGAGGACTGGCCGCGCCGCGGAGACGCGACCGGGGACACGTATCGATGCATACGACGGAATAAGGACGGAACAGAATCAACTGTTGCGATTAAAGTGGCCAAATGCTCACTCCATGATGTCTTCAGCTCCGCGGTGTCCCAGGAGAGCACCATTTCCGTGTCTGCGATGAGCTCTCCGTCATCGAAATTGGCTGCTTGGAATCAAGAGGTACGACTGCTCCGTCGTTTGGCACTCTCGGCGGGTACAAATCAAAACTGCCACAGGGTTGACGGCTGTGTCGAGGACGGCGCTGCCAAGCCACTGGACGTGAGCGATGCGGCATCTTCGACGCGTAGGAACGCGTGCTGCCCACCGGCGCACACGGTGGAGCTGGTGACAGAGTTCGGAGGCTTGAAGTCCCTGCCCTCCATGCGCTTTCTGGTCACCACGCCGGTCTGCTGGAAAACGCTCGACGCACGAATCAAGGGTGCGGAGCGTGGTTACATGGAGGCGTACAGCAGGGAAGAGGTAGGGAGTCGGAGGCTAGCTGTAGGGAGCAGACGGGCGTGGAGGGGGAGGACGAGGACGTTGTTCGTGGGGCCGGAAAACTTAGTATCTTTGCATGCCGATGCATCTTAATGACAGAGATCTCAACTCGTTTCTCTTTCTCTGGTGACACTCTTGTCTTGTGCAGGCCCTTCGCTGGAGCTGGCAGATTGTCCGAGGACTCTGGACGCTGCAGGAGGCCGACATTGGATATCGCGCCTTATCCCTGGCCCACGTCCTTCTCACGCAGCCCAACGGGGACGTGCGTTTGGCGGGCTTCGATGTCTTGCTCTCGGACGAGGGGGAGGAGGGCGAAGTCCCGGACTCCCGCCGAGGCCTGTGGGCGGTGGGCCGGGTGCTGCACATGACCTTGACGGGCTCGACGGACCGAGAGGACGACGCGTACTACTACCGCGTGGGCCGACGGGACCTGGCGACGGCTGCGGTGGCGGGTGCATGGACGGGGGGGGCAGCGGGAAAGGAGGGTCTCCCGGGCACAGGGACCGCGGGGGGGTTGGCGACGGCTGGGCCCCGAGCGGGGCGCGAGGGGGAGGACTCCGTGTGGTCCTGCTGGTCCTCGCCGGCCACAACCGTCAGCCCCTTGCTTGCCTGCCTCCCCCCCGCCCTGCGTCCCATCGTGGGGGGGCTGCTCGCGGGTCACCCCTCGAGTGCCCTGCCTTTGGGGCTGGCCCTTGACGCGCTAGGGGAGATGGTCGGCGAGGGCCTTAAGAAGGAGCCCGCATTGGCTCGGCGGAGACGGTTGCGTCAGCTTGAGGAGCGGTGGTGGCGGCATGTGGGTCAGCACCACCAGGAGCAGCAGATAAGGGAGGAGGAAGAGGCGTGGGGCCGGGGCAGTGAGGTGGGCGAGAGCGAGGCAAATCGGGGCGAGGTCTCTCGGGAGATGGCGGAGGCGTGCTTGGACCTGGGGCAAGAGTGGGAGAGGAGGGGGAAAGGCTACAAGGCCGCGGAACTCTATCGGGACGCCGTGGCCATGCTGGCGGGGGGGCAGGAGAAATTGCTGTGGAAGGTGAAGATGGAGGCGGAGGGGTGGGGGAGGATCGCCGAGCTGTACCAGGGGCGGGGACAGCACGCTAAGGCCAAAGAGGTGTTGACTCGCCTAGTCAAGTTGCATGCCATGGAGTTAGAGTCCTGCAGGGGAGTGGGGGGCGGAGGGAGAGGCGGAGGGAGGGAGGGAGGGAGGGGGAGGAGGGGACGGGGCCATCCACGGCAGCAAGAGGAGGCATGGCGAACAGCCATCGGTCGTCAGATCCAGGAGGAGGCGTGTGAACGGCTTGCCAATGTGCGGGTTCGACTAGCGGCCTCGATGCGGGAACTTGGGGAGACGACGGAGGCGCTCGCCCAGTTGAACACGGCGGAGCAGGAACTGAGACGCGCCGGGGCGGGGGAGGATCTGAGCATGGTGCATGTCTTGACGGGCAAAGCGGAGCTGTACTGCGAGCGAGAGGAGTACGTGCGGGCGCTGGAGATTTACGAGGATGCCCTGGAACGCCGGCGCAAGACCGTGCCTCGGGAGGACCCGGAGCTGGCGTCCCTGCTCGTGGGCATGGCGGAGGTGTACGCGGAGAAGGGGGACACCGACGTGGCCTTGAGCATGCTGGTGCAGGCCTACCGGCGCATGGCGGAGGCGAAGGAGCCGGCCTTTGGGAAATCGGGGGCCGAGGGTGCGAATGCCACATCTGCCCCCGGCTCGCTCTCCTCCTCATCCTTCACGAGCTCGGCCTCTGTGTCCACGCCGCCTAGGAGCCTGCACAAGACCGCGTCCACTGCCTCGCATTCCCCCTCCTCGACCGCCTCCTCCTCTTGCTCGGAGGACGACTCGGAAAGGTGCCGACGTGGTAGAGAATTGATGGTGATGGCAGGGGCGCTCGAGCGAATCGCCCAGATTTTTACGTCGAAAAAACAGTTGGATGACGCGCTCATGTGTCACAAGGCGGCGCACGAACGCAAATCTGCCGCCCTGGCCCGCGCCCATCCCGCTATAGCCCTCTCCTTGGCGCGCATGGCCGCCATCTATGAGACGAAGAAGGACCTGAAGGCGGCTGCGGCGATGCATGCGCGTGCATTGGAGGTGCGACGAGCCGTGCTCCCTCCCACCTGCCCTGAGATCGCCTCTTCCCTCTTCGGTCTGGCCAACGCCCATCAGCGCCTGCGTGCCTTCGAGTCCGCGCTTGCGGCATATGAGGAGGCTGAGATGATCCGCCGGATCAATGTGCCCCGCGGGGAGACGGCTCCAGGCGCCATGCTTGGTCTCGGCGACGTCCTGGTAAACATGTCGCGGCCCCTCAAGTCCCTAGGGCGAGACCTGGAGGCCATGGCCAAGCTGAGAGACGCACGTGAGACGTACCTCGCGGCGGGCTTGCCCATGACGGACACGCGCTTGAAGACGGTCGCGGAGAATTTGAAGGTCCTGGGTATGCACTTGCACAAGAACATTGAAACCGCAACGGAGGGATCAGGATGGGCCGGGGGTTCGGCGTCCCTCCCGCGGACACGACGGGATTTGGTGGGCCGAGAGGAACTCCTGGTGCGCCATGCCGCCAGCTCAGCATCCGGACCTGATTGGCTGCCGTCGAAGAGCAGAAATGCCTCGGCCCCGCCGTCGATGAAAGCGTCGAAGGATGGGTCCACAGGGGGACAGTCCGTGCCACGCTCCGAGAGTCTTGACCAGAAGCGCCAGCAATGCAGCATTCAATGACGAGGCGAGGCAAGTAGGCACGTGGGACGATTTATTGTGACAATGAAGGGGTAAAGCGGAGGCATGACGCATGTGTGGCGGCCGGGTAACGCGATGAATGTACAGGGCAGGGGTCGAAAAGGTGAAAAAAGTGTGTCTGCCTACGGCCAAAACAGGAGAAGCTTAATTATGTCAAGATATGGAGGCTTTATAATGTCAAGATATGGTAGGCATTGTGTCGTACGATTGAAACGTGACGAAGGGGCGCATTACCGACCGGCGGCGGAAAAGAGAGAATAAGAAACACAATATGAAACGCGCAACAACCCGCACATGATTCCAGTTGGTGCAGCACTGGCTCTACTTGTCGGCACCCATTTTGGATGTCGAAGGGAATCTGAAAGGAGACGTCACCAACGGTAGCATTAGCAGGCTTGGATACAAAAGTGGGCTTGAACATGAAAGCAGCGACACAAACATTAAAATAAGATAGGGAGGAGAAAGAGTGAGTTGTGAAATCAAAGTATAAAGACACTTGAAATTAAGTAGGAACCTGCAAGAAATGTGAAGACTGTCTTGCAAACGTAAGAGCGCCACACACGATTTCTTATGACGGGCTGGATCCTTCTCTGTGACGAAGCGGGAGTGCGAGGTTGAATTTCAAAGACAAGAAGAGATACGGGAAACTCAACAAGCAATGACGACCCACCGAGCTCAGGATTCCCCCCCCATATATTATTTTCCTGTCCATGCGTGTCATGACGCCAGTCCACATAGTTATGTATACACGAACTTTTGTGTTCCTCCATTCTTCGCTACATTCGCATGATGCACTGTAAGACAGTGCCTCCCCCCGTTCACGCCCCCTTCCTCCTCCACATGACCAACGACTTTTGCCGTCAACCCCAAGGCTTCAGCCATTTCTATCACCGTGTTGGCATGCCGCTCCCCACCTCCAATGTACAGCTCCATCCGATGGCCCATATTAAAGACTTGGTACATCTCGCGCCAGGCCTCGCTGATGCCTGTATCTTTCCCTTTCTGCCCCTCCTGCGCCCAACGGACACCCTCTTTCCAGACCCCTTCCCCCTGCTTTCGCTGCTCCTGGGCAATCATCTGAAACACCGGGGGCGTGGGGAATAGGGCGTCCTTCACCACGTGGACCGGCCTGCCCGGAGGCAGGCAACGCAACACCTTCGTTTGCCCCCCTCCCGTGCAGTGGACGATTCCGTGGATGTGATCTTGGATGCCACGACTCGATTCGAAGAGCTGAGCGAGAAACGGGGCGTAGGTGCGCGTGGGTGAAAGTAGAAGCTTCCCGACCGTCATCTGGCCCGTGCCTCTTCCGCCTGGGATCTCCACAAGGTCGGTCAGCAGTCGGCTCCCACAATACGCCGTATCTTGCAGCGCCGGATCGTACGTCTCAGGATAGCATTTGCCTACCGCGGGCGCGAGCACATCGTGCCGCGCTGCGGTCAAGCCGTTGCTTCCTATCCCGCTGTTGTACTTGGCACCGGGGTCTGCTGCGCTCGCCTCGTACTTCGTGGGCGGCCCCGAGGAGCCAAGGCCCACAATCCAGTCGCCCGCTTGGATGTTTCCGTTATCGACAACGTCTGCGCGGGCCATTCGCGTGGCCAAGGTACAGTCCACCGTCAGCGTCCTGACCTGATCCCCCAGGTCGGCAGTCTCCCCCCCGGCCATCCCGACGGCCACGCCCCAAGGCCGCAGTTCCTCCGCGACCTCCTCCAAGCCGTCGATCAAATGCTTCACTACGAGTCCAGGCACCAAGCGGCGATTTCTTGCGATGGTAGACGTGACGAGGCAGGGTGCGCGCCACGCCCCTGCGCAATACACATCATCCAAATTCATCACCAAGGCATCCTGAGCGATTCCCTTCCATACGGACACGTCTCCCGTTTCACGCCAATACGCGTACGCCAACGCAGCTTTGCTCCCCGCTCCATCTGCATGCATTACAAGCGCTGCTTCTGGGTCGTTACTCCACATGTCTGGAAGGATTTTACAAAAGGCTTGAGGGTACAAGGACGTCGATGCAGGGTAAAGCTTTTTGCCCTGGTCGTGAACTATACCCAGGACTTCATGCTTGTTGGCGGAAACTCCACGGGATCGATACCGCGGTGCGTCATCATTTTGCCAGCCATCAATCCCCCTTGCAGCCCTTACGGAGAGAAGGGAAGCCTTGAGGGGCGCGCAAGCGGGGAGTGGGCGCGTGAAAAAGGCGTGCGACACAAGTATCTGCATCACCAACAAGAGCGGCAGGTGTCTTGAAATGCTCGATGCCAGGTAATATTTCCATCGCACCATCCTTTCATGAGGAAAAGGATAAATGTGAGTCTGTGTGATATCGATCATGCGCTTTCGAGACCCCCAGCACATTATTTTGGCATTTTAAGTGACTTCCGGCGTGACCAACTTGCTGCAACGCGCGACAGCTGACGTGTTGTCGAGACCCCCCGCTCCTCCCCACTCATGTGGCCGCGGTCCTATATTTCTGATCGGAGGCTTTCAATGCACCTTGAAAGCAATATTTGCAAGCTGATACGGGATGTGCGGAGGTATTGGAGGCAAATGCACGGAGGGATAGCCTTTATGGGCTCCGAAAGTTCCTGCGTAAACTTGCATTCCTTACCTTAAGTTCCGCGACCAAGCCCCAACTCACGTTTGACCACGCACATTTATCATGAAACCCGCAGGGAGGCGGCCCACTGCACGTAAAAGTGATCTTCCTTCCCTTGGCTACCTATGGCCACGGCCAGTGCTCGTGTCGCGGTCAGTATAGCCGCTGCGGATAAGGAAAATGTGGCGCCAGCAATCCCGATGGGCAAAGGAGGGGTGGCACGACGGAAAGGTCTGTCCACGATCACGCTGGGTGCGGGGCACTTGGCGAATGTCCTTCGAGAAGGTGGGGGTAATGCAGACGCTGATGCGAGCAGGAAAACCCCCTTAACACTCGTGCGAGGAGCATGCTTTACCACGACTTCTACTCTTCGCGGAGAGGGCAGACGAGGTGTTCATGCTGGGGGAGGGCTTGCCAGAAAGCGAGGCCAGACGAGAGCTAGCTCAAGCAGTGATGGAAGATAGGGGCAATCCTTCGGTGTGGTGGCACCTCTTGCAGCACGTGCATCGAGTCTTCGGTGAATCCGAGTCCTGTGCACCTGCCGAGGCGGCCCACATCCGTAAGTTCTACCAGAAAGCCACCCGCATCATCCCCGACGGCCCTTCCCGGGACAAAGAGGATCCTGCATTGGTCAACATATGGTTAGGATTTGCCGCGGCCGAAAATTGCGTGAGCGAATCGGACGCACGAGAGGCCTATGAACACATGTATCGCTGCGGGATAGGCTCTCGGTCGTCTAGCTTCTATCTGAAGTTCGCTGCCTTCGAGGAAAAGCAAGGGAGGATTACCGAGGCACTTGCTCTTTTAGAGTCGGGCATCTCGCGGGGGGCGGCGCCGTTGGAGACTCTTGTCGCCGAACTTGAGAGGTTACGAAGCAGGAAACCTTTAGTAGCATCCAGAATTGCAACTCCTTTGCCGAGTACCTTCTCAACCCGCTCTCCGCCCTCCGTTGCGCCTTCCCCCGACTTAACAATTGAAGCCAGTGGTGTTGCTGACCGAGATTCAGGAACGCAGCAACCTCACCCAAGTCAGCCGCCAAGAGTGGAGGAGCGGGAGCATGACCGGGCGCGTCCCGGGCCGCCCTCGACGCCTGCTGCGGCAGTGACCGAGACGGCAAAGGCCCCGGTGCCGCCCGCTGTCACACCTCAGGCACAACCTACAGGCACAATCGACGCCAGCATGCAGCAACAGGCCGGGATACTCTCTCCAACTCCCGCCTCTGCCAGGGCCGACCTGCTTCATTCGTCGCACAAGGACGACTCGACAAACCAGGGGTCCACGCGGACACAGCCTCGAACAGTCAGCAAATCGAAAAGACTCCTGCCCACCGGAAGACTCTTGGGGCTGGGAAAGGCGGAACGCGTGCGCTTCGACACCCCCGGCAAAGCGGACGGGGAAGCAGAGAAGGTGACGGGGGGTGGGGGCAGTAAGTGCGACGCCGACTTCTGTCCTCCCCCTCCCGAGAAATGCTTGGCGACCCCCTCCACCGGAAGCGCCGAGGCTCATGCTCCAGTGCCTGTAGCTACGACCCCAGCCAAGCCCGACACGCATCGCCTGCAGGATCTGCGCCTCGCGTCCCCCTCCTTGACGGCGCTGCACCCGATACTGGAGGGCGATCAGAGCGCGGGGAAGGAGGAAAGGGGCTCCGAGGACACGGCTCATGGTCAGCAGGCATCTGTGCAGCAGACTCCTGGGGAGACTGCCTTCCGTCCGCTCGCGGCAAAGACACCCCATCTCAACAGTGCCAGGGCTACCCTCCCACCCCCCTCCCTCGCCTGTCTCCCCTCCCCTGCCGCCGCCTCTAGCCGTTCCTCGGATTCGCCAAAAGAGGATCTTCCGGGATCGGGCAGAAAGCAGAAATTTGACACCGACGAGGCGCACACAAGAGATCGGGGTCGAGTGTCCGCGGTCACGCACGAGTCCGTGCAGATAGAGGACAAGGGATCCCTTGACTATGACGGAAAAGATCAGAAGCGGGCGATAAAGCAGCAGCAAGAAGAACTTCAAACACCACTTGACCACTATTCTCGGCGACACGAGCAGCAGCCCCGGCGGCATACGGAGGAAGGCATCAGAGAGGACAAAATTGCGGGAACGCCCGCGTCCCGCAACGCCGGTGCCCCCCTCCAGCTTCAGGATCAGCCACACCACTATGTCAGCCAGCACCCGCAAAGCCATCGACCTTCCCCATCTCCTTTTTCCAGACCAGAAGCTCAGCCACCACATCATCATGCACCACCGCCTTCACAACACCAACAAGAACACCAAGAGCAGCGGCAGCAGCAGCAGCGTGAAACACGTTCGAAGCATCCCGAGCACCTACAGCAACCAGCATCCCAAACTTTCTCTTTTGACATGCTACTCTCCTCCCGAAATTTCATGACCCTGAACAACACCCAGTACCTACGACTCGACGTCCTTGGCCGGGGGGGAAGCAGCAAAGTGTTCCGCGTGCTGTCGGAATCCGGACAAATCTATGCCCTGAAGCGCGTACGCGTGCCTCCGAAAGACAGGAAGGCCCTGGAGTCCTTCGCCAACGAGATCACCCTACTTGCACGTTTGCGCGGCCACCCTTGCATCATTCAACTGATAGATTCAACTGTCGATAAGGCGACGGGATTGGTTTTGATGCTGATGGAGTTGGGGGAGATTGATTTGAGCAAGCTCCTCGCTGAGCAGGCGGCGGCAGAGGCGCTCGACGCCGGCAACGACTCCAGGGGAAAGGGGCGGAGACCGCTGAGCTTGAACTTTGTCCGCTTTGTGTGGGAGCAGATGCTCCGGGCCGTGCATTGCGTCCACGAGGAGCGTATTGTCCACGGTGACCTGAAGCCTGCGAACTTCGTTTTTGTGCGAGGACGGCTGAAGTTGATCGATTTCGGGATTGCCAAGGCGATAGGAAATGACACCACCAACATCATGCGAGAGTCCCAGGTAGGTACTGTCAATTATATGTCACCAGAAGCCATCCTTGATACTGGGAACGGTCGCGAGCAGCCCGGCGCGGGGGGCCGCCGGGCGCCTTGCATGAAGATAGGCCGGGCGAGTGACGTCTGGTCCTTGGGCTGCATTTTGTACCAGCTCGTGTACGGCAAGACTCCGTTCGCAGACCTCAATTTGATCCAGAAACTGCACTGCATCGTAGACGAGCGCTATCAAATTGCTTTTCCCGACGATGAATTGCACTTCTTAGATCCCGATGTGCGTGACACCATCCAACAGTGCCTTCGGAGAGACCCCACGGCGCGCCCCCCGACTAGCCGGTGGAACTTCCAGCCTTTTGCAGCACCCCTTTCTCCAGTCTACGGGCAAAGGGTCTGACTCCCATATTTGTCAGACGATTCAAGCGACGCTTGAGGTCTTGGATCAGTACCCTGATGTTCTGACTCTGGAGAAGGGGAAGCGTGTCGGAAGCATCTTCGAGCGGTTGAATGGACGGAAGGAACCGCTTGGCAACGCTAAAAGGTAGCGCAGATAGCAAGTAATGTAAATTTAATTCACACACCTCGATGAGCAGTAACCCTTTCCTTTGCAATGGATCGCTGTTGAGAGTTCATGTTTTTTACTTTTTTAACATCTGTACTTCGATCTTAACCTCCTATTAAAGATGAAAGTTACTAGTTAGAAACGAAATGTATGACCTTACTGAAGCTTGTGCTCTCTCTCACTTCCTCTGGTCTTTTCGCAATTCACATCATACCTTCAGGAAGAAGTCTGCGAGGAGCGTAACTTTGGGTAAGGCGTTGCACTGTCCTATGAGATTGTCGACCCGGACTACAACTTTGAAATTTGTTTGTTCTAACGCACAGAGACGTGTTGAAGTGAGAAATGCTGGGTCAATCGTCCTCATAAAATAAAATTGTAAAACCGTCTCAGGTCCCGATTCTCACAAATTTTTTTTGGGGGGGGACAGCTAGGTATGTACACGTTGCGACAGTATGCTGTACGTTGTCATAGGCGACAGCCCGTTGCCGCAGGGCCTTTTGTGGAGTTCGCATTTCGGAAGCATCACGTCTGCTTCTCTACGAACCCCCTTTATGCGACTGCGTCAAATATCATCAGTCGAGTAGGAATTGTGGGTGCTGGGCCCTCAGGTTTCTATGTGGCCAAGTATTTGCTGAAAGAGTTGGGGCCTGGCGCAACGGTAGATGTCATGGACTCTCTCCCCACACCCTTTGGCTTGGTGCGTACAGGGGTCGCGCCCGACCATCCTGAGGTAAAAGCCGTCCAGAGTGACTTCGAAAAAGTGGCAGGAGACCCTCGTTTTTCTTTTTATGGAAATGTTCGAGTAGGCTACGACGTGGATGTAGCGACATTGCGCAGTTTGTACGATGTGTTGGTCTTGGCGTACGGGGCATCGGAGGATCGAACGCTTGGAATTCCGGGAGAGGATACCCTGGAAGGAGTGGTCAGTGCTCGCACGTTCGTTAACTGGTATAACGGCCATCCAGACTATGCGCAAGATGCCAAGCTAACAGGCATGCTCGGGGAGATCCTGGCGCAGGCCTCCGCCCAAGTCGCCGTATTGGGTCAAGGCAATGTGGCCTTGGATTGCGCCCGCGTGCTGGCGAAGCGACCGGCAGACCTGGAGACAAGCGACATTTGCGAGCATGCCCTGGAGGTGTTGCGGGAAAGCAAGCTGGCTGCCGTGTCAGTGGTGGGACGGCGGGGGCACGGACAGGCGGCCTTCACCATCAAGGAGCTCCGGGAACTCTCTCGGATCCCGGGCGCCAGGCTGGTGGTGCCTCCAGAGGAGGTGGCGATGGGCTTGACAGAATTTACAATCGCAGAGCTCGCGCAGTCTAGACCCCGGAAGCGGCTGACAGATTTGGTGGCCTCCTTACCCGGCCCCGCGGTGGGAGGGCAGGCTGGAGAGGGACGGGAACGGGTGGTGGCGCTCAGATTCCTGCTCCTGCCTCGGGCGTTCCTGCCAGACCCACGGCGGCCGCGCCGGCTGGGCGCCGTTGTCTTTGAACGTGCCCGCCTGGAGCTGGACGGACAGGGAAAGCGCGTGGTGGCCGTGGGGACAGGCGAGACAGAGGAGCTGCCCTGTCAACTGGCCCTTCGCTCCATCGGCTACAAGTCTCAGCCTGTGGAGGGTCTTCCCTTCGACAACAAGAAGGCAGTGGTGCCAAACAGACATGGCCGCGTGCTGGAAGCAGCCCGTGAAGAAGCGGTGCCCGTCCCAGGCGTCTATTGCACGGGCTGGGTGAAACGAGGCCCCTCGGGGATTATCAACACGAACATATACGACGCCCGAGAGACCGTGGCCGCCATCATGGAGGACGCTACGCAAGGAAAGTTGCCCTTCTCTTCCTCCTCCTCCTTGCTCGAGGCGCTCGCCCAAGCGGGGCGCAAGAAGCCGGAGGATGTGGTGTCCTGGGAGGGCTACGGGAAGATCGATGCCTGGGAGCGTCGCCATGGGGCCGCGCGAGGGAAGCCTAGAGAGAAGGTCACGGATAGCCGCCGGCTTCTGGAGATCGCCCGAAGTTGAGCTGTGGTGGCGGGCTGCAGGTTGTAATGACTTTCATTTCTTAATCGCTCATGCTTCTGGAGATCGCCCGAAGTTGAGCTGTGGTGGCGGGCTGCAGGTTGTAATGACTTTCATTTCTTAATCGCTCACTCATGTGGCAAATAGTGCATACCTGGAAAAGCTACAACAATGTAAATGTAGAGATTTAAAGAGTTTTAATAGTGTATTCTCTTCTTTCCTCCTCAATTCATAGAAAGAGCCGCTAACACTTTCGTTACTGCGGTTGCTGCGTGCAAGGCAAGCTCCTCTTCGTCTTTACGATTCCCCCATTCCAGCTGAGAATCGACACTCTCTCACTCACACACACTGACAGGCATACCAGGATCCTCGTACACCCCAACTCCCCTCAACCCTGCCTTGTCCATCTTCCCGCTTCCCTTTCATTTTTCCAACATTTCCTCCCCGCTCCCCCACCCTCCGCCTTATCGGCTGATCCCTTCCCCGCCCCCTCCCATCCCTAGTAGGGGCGGTGACTCCGCTCTACTCGCCCCTGGTGCGCATGCTGGCCTCGGTGTGGCGCGTATCCGCCCCCCCCACCCGCTGCATAGTCCGATGAAGGCACGCCGTGGGCCTGAGAGTGCGAGGCGTGGCTCCCATTGTAACCTCCAGACCCCCCCCGCCCATGGAGGGCGGAGGCACTCCCACCGCCGCAGGGACGCTGCCGCTCTGGGCGTACCCCCCATGCGCGTAGGAGGAGGAGTAGCCCCCCGCCACGCCTGAGGGCGGGTAGTCGCTGTAAGCGCTCCCGTGCTGCGAGGGGTACGAGCCGTAGTGCGGGTGCTGGGAGTACCCGGCCGAGCTGTAGTAGTCTC